GATAGCCGGTATATATTTTATACCGATGCCACTCTAAGACATTTTTTTCTCAGGTAGCTGCCAATATTTTTTGTTTTTTAAATTAATTTTGCATACTTTTGATGTGCATCTGTAGAGATGGATGCTTGAATATAGTTATGTAAGTCTGAAGACAAAAACTTTTAAAATTTCTGTAGAAATTTAAGATTTTAAAAATAAAATTTATGTTTTTATGCACTTTGATGATAAAAGACAGCTGAACATACTTATGTAAAATATGGGTAAAAAGCTATTGAACTTGATTTAAATTCAATATTATTTTATAAAAAAAATTAGCAAATATGACACTGCATGCGTAAATCGTATCATGCTGTAACTGAGAGAGTATAATATTACAAATAGATATAACAGCCGAAAAATAAAAAAAAAAAAATTAAAAATGAAACACTACGACTCAGATGAGAAAGTATGTTGCATTTTTGAAGTCATATTTTATTCTTTAGGTAATATGTAAAAAAACCTTGGTTCAGGCTATGATACCAAGAATCGCCCCACGCACACACACTTTAGATTATCGAGGACCGTAAGGACAACTTTTTTATATTTTGTAAATATCGGTTGTAATATATCTTATTGTTCAGGAAGAAATGCCGTTAAACAAATATATTATTTTATACACCTCAAAGCTCTTATTTCGATTTTCAACCCATTTGGCCTCCAAGGGCTCTTTTTCAACTTTTGGATAAATTCTAGTTTGCATCTAAAACTGTTTGTAACCTAATCCTAAATTTCTCTTGCATTCCCTAATCTTTCATCTGAAATTAACAAAGACAATAAGAATAAAAGCATGCTTTCAAATTACCAGTTTTTGTGATTGCACTAAGAGATGGACCTTAAGTGCACTTCCATTTCCTGTATTTTTAAGTAAGCTTTCTCTTTGTGTGATCTTATCACACCACACGAAGGGAAGAAGGCATGACTCCGGAATGACAAATCAGTTGTCAATCACCTCCTTTCATTTTCGTTGGATTCTATGATTTTGGAAAACACGAAGCGACAGGTGTCTTTTGGGGGTTAACATGCCACATTTAACTCATTAACCGCCAAAACTACAAGGAATGTTTTTTTCTCATGAAAATAATAACAAATATTAAATTAAGCATTTATAACATAAATTTACATTGAAAATAAAAAAATGCTCTTACCTGTGGAAAAAGCGAGTGTTGCATTCGCGCAACGTCAGCGGAATAAGACTATGGATGTTTAGTGAGTAGGATTGTACTCGTGTGATGTTTCTTTTGAGTGGAGCGCAGGATTACTTTTTAGCTGTATAACGTTTTATAAATCTACAAATCATCTTACTTGTAATTAATTTAATATTAAAATATACATTGTGTTTCTTTTACAAATACAGATTATTTCATTTGAAATATTCAAGCGTGAAAAGCTTGATTACAATCATGATGTAAAGCTACATTACATACTTTGCATCTGTAAACAGTTCGGCTATGATACACTTTACAACAAAGAGTACCATAGCCATCAGCGGACTTTACGATAAAATGTCTACCATCTCCATGCAATGGTTTTTGAATGCTGAATTTACTAGGTCTTCCTGCTGCTGATCTATTTCTGGCTAATTCTACACTCTCAGTAGGAGTTTGCAAAAGGAATAATGCATTCTCGCGTCTGAAATCTAAAAGCGACTTTATATTTCCAATAGTAAAAAGTGGTGATATTTAGTAAGTTTAGATACAGTCTCACCTCATGTAATTTATCTGTATTGTCAAATGCAAATTCTGCTTCATATTCCTGTACTGCAAACGTGATATCAATTCTCGTACAACAGGAACAGAAATGTCCTTATCAAAAGACCAATACGTTTTTTCTTGAGGTAAAGAATGATATCCTGTAAGTAAAAATATTTCAATGAATCTTCTCTTATAGGCTTCAGATGCAGTAAATTCTGGCCTTTTTCTTTTCTTTTTTTTTCTTTTTTTTTTTTTTTTTTTTTTTTTTTTTTTTTTTTTTGGCTGACCGTATATATTTGTCTGTTCACTGTTCAACGAGAAGAGAGTAAATGTCTAAACCAAAAAGAAAATTGAAAATCTGTGCACTAGTTTTACCTTGTATTTTGTCTTTTATAATTTCTTTTCTATCTCTTTCTTCATGTTCTTCCTGAGACATAACTAACAGTTCCTTTTTTATCCACTTCAAGATTTCAGTCTTCTGCTTTTTAAATTTTTTAAGTATGACTATAACTGCTTTTAGAAGGCTGAAACTTACTTCTTTACGTGAATTTCAACTTCCCCAGCAGTATCATTTGGTAAAATATCATTATTTAAAACATTGCCATTCTTTTCTTCTTTGTTAGGCCCACCAGCGGACGAGCGGTAAAGTCACTGAACACTGGTAGAACACTGAGGTTCGAATCAAGCGAACGGGCTGGCTGCATGGGTGTTTTCGTGGTTTTTTTCATGTGTAACGTGTATACGAGCCAGTTTCCCTTAGAAAGTCCTCCACAAAGGCATCCCTCCCCTTAGGCAGATAGCCCTAGAGTGCTTTGCCATAATTAAATGCACCACACCACACCACCTTTCTTCTTTGTCACTAACCTCTGCAATTTCTGGGGAACAACAACAATATCAGTTTCATTCTGGTCATTATTAACATTATCATTATCTGTTTCTTCATCAAAAAATCTTTGAAGGGCTTCTTCTAATGTAAGATACCTCGTTCTAGGCATTTTTAAACAACCAGAACATAGAAAGGAATGAGTGATAAAGGAGATTAACTACCTGTTTCCTGCTGACGTTGCGTGGACGCAACACCTGTTTTTCCTTGCTTCCCAACACAAATATAAACATCTGACTGATGTAATGTTCTGATAAATGGTGACCTTGACTAAAAATAGATCACTCATAAAGACGGCGATTCTTTCGTTAAATATTTTCAGCAAAAATACCCGGTCGAAAATTTTGCTTAAAGTATGAGATTAATTATTATAAACAAAATGATTGTTGAAGGCAAATATTTTTTTTTCAGAAATAATCTTCATAATATTCCCTACATAAAATCATCTGCTGGTATTAAATATCTCAGGTAGTTATATTTATATATGCATTTAGTTTGACCATTGCGTCAACACAACAGCAGCGGCTAATGGGTTAACCCCTATGATAGTGTAAAATTTTGACCCCAGACGGCAATTTTGAATTCGATGAGTCTTTTCTTGGAAAAGGGTGAAGTGCTGAAGTTAAAATTTTAGCTAAATAGAGACGAATGAAACTCAAGTGGAGTAAAAAAAAGAATAAAAAGAAGCAAATATACCTGTATTCATTCCTAGTGCAGGGTCAATAAACTCCCCATCCCTTCATGAATATAATACTGAATTCTAAACAACTTGTAAGTTAATCATGAACATAATACTGAATTCTAAACAACTTGTAAGTTAATCATAAACAAATTATTACATCATAAACTATTATAATGTAAAAAAATTCTGTCATCTCACAGAGTAGAGAAGGAGAAGCCTGGTGCTGCCATCTATTGACCCTCAGTAGGGGCGCCGGTATATATTATATACCGGTATTTAAAAGTGTGTACATAATCTCCTTTTAATTATCAGTTTTGATTGAAATGCAGTAAATATAAAAGGTTCAGCATGTGTATGTCATATATTTACAGATTTTGAATTTTTTCTTCCCCTCCAATAGAATTTATCAATATTCAAACTTGATACCCTGGAACAAGGTATATTAATTTCATAACTGCAAAATATTGAACATTCATAGAGTGGTGTTGCCTTTTAGAATTGAAAGGAAACACTAGAAACTTACGATTATAGCTTTTGGTGTAGAGAAACTTACGATTATGACTTTTGGTGTAGCATTTTTTCGGAGGTTAAAAAATTGACAAACAACCGGGATATATTATATACCAGTGCCCTTTAAAGGGTTAAAACATGCAGTTTGAAGTTCATCTTTCATAGTCCACTACAGCCTTTCTTAATGTGTATGTCCCAGGATTTGAAGAAAATAGTATGGATTTGTTGTCATTAAAGTTGTACGTAAAAAACGTGACTTAAAGACCCTTAAAAAGGCTTTATGCTTTTTCAGATTTAATTATTAAAATATTGTAAAAACTAGTTTGTAATATGAGCAATAGATGGCGCCACAATGCATTCAAATTTAATAAAATCCCTTCCCTGTCCTGTACACATTTTTGTAATTCTGTTGGTATTTCTGCTCATTTACAACCTAAATAATTTTAAGTCATTTAAATTTTTAAAGCAGATATAAATTGGTTCTACTATAAAAGTTAGTAACTTATGTGTATGAAGTAATCCTCATTATACAACTAATAGAGACAGATAGCCAGGGGTGCCCTTGACATCTGGGCACCCCGTCACATGGCCAAATATTAAAAAATATACGACAATATAAAGTACTTCTGTTGGATGTATATTTTTTTAGAAACAGTTCTTAAATTTTGACACATGTATCAATTTTCCCATAAATTTTATTGATTAACAGGGATTTCACATGAAATTATTCACATGAAGCTTTTGGTGTAGAGAAATTAGCATTTTTTCGGAGGTTAAAAAATTGACAAACAACCTGTATATATCCAGTGCCCTTTAAAGGGTTAAATAACCAACATGTCAAGAAATAATTGGTTTTACGTAAAGCCAAAGCATCGTGTCACACGTTTTCATTTTTGCTGCTAAATCACTCTACAGTTTTGCTTGATTTGAATTATAGCCTTAGTCATGCTTTATAACAATGTTACAGGTCTTATTTGCTTAATTTTATATTTAAAAAAGTTTTTAAAATTTGGAAATATTCTGATTACTTGAGCTTTCTTGAGATTTAGTTGACTACCAGATAGTCATGTTTTTACTGCATTATACACATTAAAAAAATAATATTAATAGTAATGAGGGTTTTTTTTTTTTTTGTATTATGTTATTGTATATATGAATAATTTTATTTGACGATCATGATTTTCTCGCATTTTAGAGGGAATATGAAAGCTCGTCGAATTTCTGCAAAATTGAAAGCAAAATGGGCCAAAGATTTGGAAAAGAGTGGTCGTTTAGAGTGTCCAATGCCTGGTTGTTGCCAGACGTTTGTTACAGTTGCAAATTTTCAGACTCATTACAAGTGGTGCACAGGCGTGAGTTATATTTCCAGTATTTATGATTAAGCATTAGTTTGTTGATGTTATTGAATTCGCTTATTGAAACTTTTATATATATATAGTTCACATAAAAGCAGAAATTTTTCTTTAAAATGTCTTCCCATTTATTATCAAAATTTTCCATCTGCAGTATTTAGTATTTTAAATTAAAATAGGTACAGTCACTGTAAGCTGCTAAATTACTTTACTTTTCACATGGTGTGATAGAAAAAAACTGAAGGCCAGTAAATTTGGTGGTTATTATTTTAAAATTTTCAATAATTAATTGTTCATTGTGCAGTAACTGTTTTGTGCCATCAATATTACGGAATGCAAAGGTTGGTTAAAATTGACGAATTAAATACTAACAATTTTTATTGGCATTAAAAGATATATTTGTGCTTAATGACATCTGTTAAAACTAACTGTCAGTACATCCGAAAGCTGTGGTCAACCAAGTTATTTAGATCTTCTGAAAATTATCCATCCAGCCTTGTAAACCAACGTTTGGAGTACACCGTCATTTTTTAATTCATATGTAATTTTTTAAAAACAGAATGGTATGGCAGAAGTTATTGTGACTTGTGTTGCAAATGGGCATATGGGAAAGGAATGGAATACTTTAAAATTGTGTAATAGCATTTATTCGTATTTTTATTGCATGAACATTTATCGTGGATTCTCTAACAACACGCGTAATTTTTTTTTTTCTTTTCAATTCATGTGTAAAATGTAGCTTTTTGAGTGCATGCCTACTTCCTAATTATCTTTCTGTGTTATAAATTATCTGCAGTTTCCTGTATTAAATGCTTTCATCTACGATTCTGCTTGCGATATTCAAATTAAAGTTTGTAAGTGGGTATCATGCACAGGAAAGGTACTGTTGCTTGCTGTTTTTAACTTCAGTTTGTTAAAGACATAAAGATAGTGTAAAACCTGAATTGCAACCAGCGCTTCAAGAATTTATGGGCAGAGCAACAAAGTTTTAATGAATTTGTTTGTTAGATTCATTAATCTTCAGTAATCTGAGAAGCAAAAAAAAGTCTGATATCTGTTATATTTCATAAATACACTGAATAAAAAGAAAATGAAAATTTAGTAGATTCGTATTCTGTTGTTTGTCAATAGTATTCTGATGAAAAAAAGCTACCAAAAAATGTAAATCAATGAAGACTTGTCTGGTAAGAATTGAGAATAGCAAATCATATTTCCTAAGAAGCAGTAATTCAGCAAAATGCCTTTGCATATCCTTAACCCAGTTGCTTCAAAGTTTCATTACATTTTTGCGTATATCCTAAATGTTCAATTCATTCATAAAAAAGTGAGCATTTACTTTGATTAAAATGATGTTACTATTTCAGTCTCTAAAAGCACAACTCAAGATTATTTTGGCATTCTTATATTGTTTTCCTATTATCAAATATGTCAAAGTTTGTTACGGTTTTGGACTTGTCCTGAAGAGTTTGGTAAGTAATTTGACTTAAGTCATTGGAAGCAGTTTTTATGCCTTTTATTTGATATTGGTCATTGGGCTAGCTCTAGTTTGTCTTATCCCTAACGAGGAAGGTTCTCTTGGTAAAAAATGTCTCACTATTTCTTGGAGAAAAAAGCTTGTAAACTGTTCATCTAACAAAACATAATAGTAAAAATTATTGCTGCTAATATTCTGTAGGTAAGGAATTGTAAAAATTTCAAGATTTGGCGATACAGCACTATCATTGACTTTCTAAATTTTCGAAAATTTATAAAGTTGCCAAGCTGATTGATTCATTCATTGCATATATAAAATGATAATTGGAAAGACAAAAGGTGAAAGGTAGATAGATATTTTGGCACTCAGTGCACAATTAACTTAAAATGAAAGGATGATGAAAATTGATATAAATTTAGTCTTTGAAAAAGAGGCCAAAATAAAAGAACTTTTGGAACTATCTTTACTGTAGAAAGCTTGAATGCATAGTATAGATGAGGTATAGTTATAAAAAAACAGAGCAGTAATTTATTTTATAGTAGTTGGCTGCAATTATGAATTGAGTCAAAATTTCAGAAATGCTAGTCCACCAGCAGCTGAGTGGCAGAATTTGCTAAATGCAGTTCAGTGTGGGTTCAGATCCTAATCCCGGTAAATGGGATGGCAGCATGGGCATCCAACCCCCATAGCGAATGTGATCCTCCAAATTTATCAATTCTTTTCAATTTATGATGCTGCATTGAGAATTTTTCTACTTTATTGTCAAATGTAATTTCCCTGGTCATTTAAAATCTCAGAAATGAGATTTTTCAGTTTCATATCCTCTCCATATAAAAAAAACAGAGCAGTAATTTATTTTATAGTAGTTGGCTGCAACTATGAATTGAGTCAAAATTTCAGAAATGCTAGTCCACCAGCAGCTGAGTGGCAAAATTTGCTAAACGCAGTTCAGTGTGGGTTCAGATCCTAATCCCGGTAAATGGGATGGCAGCATGGGCATCCAACCCCCATAGCGAATGTGATCTTCCAAAATTTATTAATTCTTTTCAATTTATGATGCTGCATTGAGGATTTTTCTACTTTATTGTCAAATGTAATTTTCCTGGTCATTTAAAATCTCAGAAATGAGATTTTTCAGTTTCATATCCTCTCGGTTAAAGTCTGTTAATTTCAAATGGCTGGTTGGATAATCTTAACCTGACTGCATTTTATCTCGAAATAAAGGCATAGTTTAGAATTAAAATCTCATCTAATATCTATTAATTTCTAGAATTTGGCAGAGTTGACTGCATATTAAAATTATATGCTGCGTAATAAACTAAAATATTTACAAATGCATGACAATTGTTAAAGTGAATATATATAAGGTAACGCAAACAAGACAGAAAGAATAATTATTGTTCAGCAAATAGACTACAGTATACAGCTAGAAGAAACTTCTTGTGAATATTTTTTTTTGGGGGGGAAGACCTTAAGACTTTGAAAATCGTTACTTTCTTTTTGATTAAAAACTTTATTTCTGTGTCCCTTTTTTTTTTTTTTTTTTTTTTTTTTTCCATGATAGAAATTGAGCTGTCTCAAAAAGAAAAGTATTGGCTAATTTGAACTTAATAGCTTTCTTTCTAAGTGTGTAGAATCAAGAGTACTTTTGCCCACCAAATCACTTTAAAGGTCAAGTTAACCCTACACTGAAAATGAAACAAAATGATAAAATAAAGCTATACCCAGAGAACTGTAAGTACTTCTGCTCATTTGCTGGTGAACAGGAATAATTTAACTGATCCTAATAATATGCGCAATGTCAAAATAATTAAATTGTTAAAGTGATATAAAAAAGATACTAAAAATATACAAAAACTATTTTAACAAGACAATGCTATTTTTGATGTTTTATAATTTTTTGAAATTGTACCAAATTTTGTTAGAAAGCTCACCATTTAATTTAAATTCCTTTTTAATAACTTTTTTATTATTATAAGATATTAGCTGCTACCATCTTTTACTATTATGTGTTTCTGGATGAATAGATAACCTGTATATTTTCTCCAAAATAAAAATACTTCAGAGTTGGAAAACTTTCCTTGCTAGCTGTAGGATTATTTCAAATTTTTTTAGACTACTCAATGTATCTTTCTTTGGCAAATTGGATATTAGCATATACAGGATAGTCATTGACACCTGCCTTGTAATCAGTGTAGAGTTGAATATTTCTATCAGGTTTGCAGAGAATTTAAGAGTATTCAGTTATTTGTTGACTCTTTCTTGGAAAACTTATAGAATTTCTCTTTCTTTATGGAAAATTTGTTTGCATTTTTGTTAAAGACATAAAGATAGTGTAAAACCTGAATTGCAACCAGCGCTTCAAGAATTTATGGGCAGGGCAACAAAGTTTTAATGAATTTGTTTGTTAGATTCATTAATCTTCAGTAATCTGAGAAGCAAAAAAAAAAGTCTGATATCTGTTATATTTCATAAACACACTGAATTAAAAGAAAATGAAAATTTAGTGGTTGGTACACAAAATATATATTTAAAAAGTTTCCATTTGAATGAAAATGAAAGTTACATTTTAATTCAGTATGGACTTTTTTGTAATTGCATGCTCATATACACTGAAGAACCAAAACATTTACCACCTACTCAATAACGCGTTGTGCTACCTTTGGTCTGCAAATCCGCTGCAACTCTTCTTGGTACATGGTGCCACAGGTTCTTGGTACATGAATGGAGACAGTTTGTGCCAAATGTTTAAGCAGTGGTCACGTAAAGTCCAAATACTCCAATGTGGTGGTGTTTGAGCTCTGAGCTGCTGCTCATGACATCCCAAATGTGCTCTATCGGGTTAAGATCCAGCAAGGTAGGTGGCCAGGACATTAATTGGAATGCATCCTTATTCTTTTCGAACCACTCCAACACAATTTGAGCCTTGTGACATGGGGTGTTGTCCTGCTGGAATATTCTTTTTCCGCTTGGGAAGACAGATGCCATTCCAAGTTATGTTCAGATAGTCTGTAGCTTTCATGGTCCATTCTACCGCAACTAAGGGTCCCAGAGCAGTCTATGAGAATGTCCCCTAAAGCATTACTCCCACTACCAGCCTGTGTACGACCTGCTGTACAGGGGAGCAATTGTTCACTTGGAAGACTGTACACTTACACGACCATCAACGTGATGTATGAAAAATGGTGATTCACCCAACCAGGCGAACGTTTCTTTTTCTTTGGTGACTCGTGAACGTCGAACACCTAGGCATCTACTGCTGGTTTCGCCACCTTTTATCCACTTTTCGTAAATACTAACAATGGTAAATTGTGAACAACCTAGCAGTCATGCAGTTTTGGAGATACTCATTGAGTCTTCGGGCCATTACAGTCTGCCTTCTATCGAATTCACTTAGATTATCAGCCTTTCCCATCACTTGGAAAATAAGTGCAAGAATGATTCTTTACCTTCTCCAGTAGCAGTTCAGTATGGTCATAATGTCTTGGTTCGTCATTGTATATCAGGTGATATACTCTCCTAGCATTTAGCAAATTCATGAAAAAGGTCTAGAAATGGATAAATGCTTTAGCATTATAGCTTGGAACCATTTTATAAATGCAGTTTTATCTCTCAATTTTCTGTCATTTTAGCACTTGATTGAGACATCTGTTTTTTTAGTTTTTATGTTCCTTTGTAAATTGCATTGCTGTTTGGGAAATTCCCAATTTGAATGCATCTGTTTTAGGGGGGGCAGCTGTAAGAACATCAAGATTTGTTAAAGAATTTTCTTTCAGGCTTAAATATTTTTACTTAATCATTTTCAATATGTTATAAATTTAAATACATAACAGAAGGCTTCTTCCAGTGATTTATGCAATTTAAGTTGCACAATTCCAATATTTTAAAACAACCTACTCTTCTCCCATTTTTATAGTTCTTCTAGTAGATGATTTCCATATACGCTGCAACACAAATTATATGCATGTCCTGTTGACATCCACACAATATGAATTCCAAGCCCATTGGATGCTCCCTTTTTGGTGTTGCATTTTGAATGGCCAGCAGTGTATTATTCTATTGATAAGAACAGTGCCTGTATCTTTTAAGATCCTCATTTAATTTTAAAGCATTTAGATATTTATTTATATCTGCTGCTGATATTATTATTTTCATGCATTCAAAATGAGAAGTCTCTAATATCTTTAGAAAAACATGAAATATATCTAAAGAGAAGATTAATTAAAAAAATTTTGCTGATTTGTTGATGATATATGTAATTTTTCTGTGCCAGTTGGACATTTTTCTCAAAATAGATATCCATAGCTATTAAATTTTTCTAGGCAGATTTTCTTCATTCAGTCCTCTGTCTAGAAATGTTTTATTTATTCAGAGAAAACTTAAAAACAGACTTTTTTTAAAAAAAAATTCTATTGAGACTCATGTATTGTAGTAACCTACCTGGCTGAACTTCTGGAATTAGATATCACAAAGTAGACAACTGCATTTATCACTCAAAATTGGCACACATTTATTAATTATTATTAAAGTATGAAAGATTACTCTAAATGAGCTCATGTATATAAACTTCTAAAATAGTAATAAAAAAGTACTGTATTAAATTTAATGATTAAAATACAATTGAATGATTATGCAAATGGTAAAAAATAACTGTACAATACAAGCCAAGCATAGTGATAGTGGGACACAGCCCAACGAAGTACCTGGTAAATGCTAAATAAGACTTGAAAAATAGCAAGATTAAAGTAAAAATATTCCCCCTCCCCAAATAAGAAATTAAAAAGAACAGTAAAGAAAAGAGTACTCCAGTTAGAAGTCCATATTTATAGATGCACAATATTCTGTGATAAAGTGATTACGCTATGTTCTAAAACACAAAAGGGTTGAAAATGAAAAAATAAAATGTGTCACATATGTATGTCTTAAATAGGAATTACATTGCTTGCTGTGTTTTGTGTTATGTCTGAAGATTTATTTAAATTATGTGCATAATTTTAAATTATTAAATAAAATGCAATGTTAAATTATTTGCATAATTTTTAGTGTAACATTAAAAAATCAAACAAGGTCATTACAGTTGTAAGTCCTGTGTTAAATGAAGCACAAGCATTTTCAGTGTTCAAAAGTGTTTTTCAGAATGCTTATTTTTTTTTTTTGAACATTTTGTCATATTTATTCATGCTTTTAAAATAATTATTAAGCTTTTATAAGTCTGTGTTTTCTAATTAATAGTTTCTTTTAATGAAAAAAAATTTGTTTAAGCAAAACATGTTTGATTTTGTCTTCTTAATTCTGCAGAAAAAGGACCTGCAGCATTGTCTTTATTGTGATTCCTTAATATTTTCATCTCAGAAAGCTGTACTTCATCATATGGAAGTTGAACATCCAGACAAATTTCAAGAATATAAAGGTCTCTATTTTTTTTAACTCTTAATTATTTGCTTGTAATATGTTGCTCTTATGTTAGTCTGGTAAATAATTGCACATATTTTTTATTATAGCAAAATTTCCTGAAACTGATGAGAAAGAGATATCAGAAAATGAGGCTAGGTACCAAAAAATAGATGAAAAAATTCCTCAAAGACTTAAATACTTGAAAAAGCGGAAATTTTCTCCCAAATCCAAAGAAAATCTTCTGTCCCCCAAAAGTGCAATTTTGAAGCACAAAATGAAGTCTATTGAAGAAACTGCTATTAAAAATATAAGGGAATTCAAAAAATGTGTCAAATTTGATAACATAGTACATAAAATAAATTCTGTAGATGATGTTGTTAAAACAGCTGAAGTATTACACCAGGCTACAGAAATTAAATTTCCAAAGCAAAGGAAAAGGAAGCTTTTCCTAACTGAAAGCATAGTTGATGACAAAAAATATTTTTTTGATTCAGATGATGAGAGGAGTAGTACTGAATCAAGGGAGAATTCAGCAGAAATCGCCCCTGTAAAAATAAATACTAAGTCTAGACTTGTATTGAATATGGAACGGTATAAGAGGTACAATGAATATTTGAAACTGACCAGAGATTGGGCTTCAGAACGAAGAACTTATTCGCGCTCTCGAAGTGGTTTTAATTCATTTGATTCTTCTTATATGTTAGCATTACAAAATGAAGGCATTAAAGATACTCATCAGTTAAATGACAGTAGTACATCTGCTGTTTCATTAAGCATTTCAGAAAATGAAGTATCTAATGAAATGAGAACAGATATCAGAGAATTCACTCTTCTGGAATCTGATATTTGTAATTCACACACATCACCTGAAAATCAAGAATGTCCTGTTAAAGATAATGAATCCCTAGTAGAGGTTAGTCAAAACAGAAAAAGTTATACTGATGCTTTAATTTTCAATCTAGGGTCAAATAATACAAGTACTCCCAAGAAATTACCAGTATCTGCTGAAAATAATATAGTGACTGTATCTAATGGGAGTGTTAGTCCTCCCAAACAGAGGGTGACATGTTATAGTAGAAGTAATCAGATAAGTACGAGTTGTGGAAAAAATGAAGCACTGTGTGTGCGAAAGCAGCCTTTGAAAATTGGCAACATCATTACATATGGGAAAACCGTTCCAGATTTTGAAAAAACACATTCTCAAGATATTTTACCAGTGGTTGATTTTGATACTTTAGTTAAAAACACCACATTTGTGGATAAAAAGGGAAAGTCTGTATGTGAAAATAGCCCACGTGTAGTGAAAAAGAAAAAAGTTCAGAATGTGAAAGGTTCTAATGAAATTTCAAAGCACAGTAAAGAAGATGGTATCAAGCAACCAACTACTGTGGATGTTCCAATAAAGAGGAAAAGAGGCAGGCCACCTAAAATAAGAACTGATGTGACCGAGGTCCAAGGAAAACTCCAAGATTCTGAAAATAAAGCTTCAAAACTAAAAGGTGAGCAAAAGTACTCTAAAGTGCCAAAACATTTGAAAAACAAAAAATGTGTATCTAATATTAAGCGAAAAGTTGGACGTAGAAAATTCACTAGTGTCAATCATCAACGATACAGAAAAGTACAACGAAAATCTAAAGCAAATTTAAGAAAAGTAAAATTGAAATGCAGAAGTAGGCAGATACGTGGCTTAAGAAGGGAACCTTTGAATAAAGTTGTCCATTGTGCTGAATCTGAAACACAAGTAATTAGAAAGGATACTTTGACCGGAGATCTTACATCTCTTTGCTTGGCAGCATGTATGAAAAGCTCACCTAAAGGTGAAGAAATTCCTGTTAAATGTTCACAAGTTGATGACCATAATTATTCTTCGTGTGTTTCGGAAAATGATGCTTCTCTGTCTGTTTCGCAATCATTCAATAAAAATAACAGTGCTAATATGAATGAAGTTAATCATGATGGTAATTTACTTAGTGTAGAGTCTACACAGAAAGACAATGCACATTCTGAAAATGTATATCTACAATGCATAACTAATAATTTTCCAGAAAATTCTATAAATCACATGGAAATTTTGATTGAAGGTGTTAATGAAACTCAAATACAAAGTAAAGATTCAGAATTTATAAATAACACTTGTCAATTAATTGGTGATGAATATAATCGTAATCCTGAGGTTTTGAAGCCTGTTGAAACTCAAATGCTGCCACTTGATGAACTGCCTTGTCCTGAAAAGGCTGAAGAAATCTCAAATAATGAAGCTGTTTGTGAATTGTGTTGAAAATGATGCTAAGCAGCCCGAATCTGTGAATGAGCAGCTAGTGTCAGAATCTGTGCATTATCCCGGGCCTGCCAGAAGTTCAGCTGATAGTTGTGTAACTCCTGTTCATTCTGAAAGTGATAAACACAGCTCTCCAGAAAATTATGAGCTGCAAAGTAAATCTATTCACGATTGTTTAGATAGTTCAAATTTATCTGGTGCGAAACATATAGTAAATACTGTTTTGAATAATGTGCATAATGAAAGCAAGGAATGTAAGCAGCCTTCAAACGAAATTAAGATCAAAAGACCTAGAGGCAGGCCTAGAAAATACCCAAAAGAAAGTTCCAAACAGAACGCTTCTGTTGAAAGTTCTAGCTTTTCTGAGAATGTGGAGAATAATCAGAATTCAGATTTCTCTTTACAGGTGCAATCAAATGGTAATTCAGCCATGTTTGAAGAAATGAATTTGTCTCCCTTGATAAATAACACCGTGTCAGCAGACAAAAATACTAGTCCTGTTATCCGTAAGAGTGAAAGGGTGAAAAAAAGAAAACATGAAGATTATGTTACACTTGAATCAAAGAAAAGAGAAAAAGATCCTCAAAGATTGGAAAAAAATGCTGTACAGATGATTGCTAAGAAAACTGGAAAAAGGGGAAGACCTAGAAAGTATCCTGTGGATGTTCAAACAAATTGTCTAGCTGTATGCGAAAAAAATCAAGTAAACAGTACAAATTCTGATACATCTATATATGTCAAGGATAAGCATTATAACAATGTGATTCGTAAATGCTCTCGAAAAGGAAGACCTCGTAAATGTCTTCGTTATGCAGATATCAATTCAGGAGTAGATAATGAAAGCCTTGATGGTATAACTGACACTCATATAAATAGCGAGGATGGTAAAGGTGAAATTGATTGTGAGGGTAAAATCTCTCACAGTAAGCAGATTTTGGTTTCAGAAAAAAACACAGAAGCTTCCAAGAACATAGAATCTTGCTCTGAATGTAGTAATTGTAATAATGAGGAAGCAGAAAAGTTGATTTTACCTCTCAAAAAAAGGAAACAGATGGCAGGCTATAAAGTTTCTAAAGAACTCTGCACTTTGCATACAAAACCTTGCAAATGTGAAGTTGAAAAGCTGGAACCTCCTAAGAAAAAGTCAGAAAAACTTTCAAAGGTTTGCATTTTCTTCTTTTATATCTTTAGTTTCTCTGAATTTAGTTAGGTTTTTTTTTGGAAACAATTTTTAGTCCTTAATTTCAGCCCAAATAGGCAAAAAGTCCTTAATTGTACTCCTTTGTCATTTCTGTGTGTTCTTTGCAACTGCTGTTTTGAGTGTGAATTAACCTTTTGCAGGAATATTTTTCAATGACTGCCATTTTGAGGGTGAATTAACATTTTGCACGAATATTTTTCAATTCATAGGTTATCATTTGAATATATTATGTGTCTTTTAAATGAAACTAGTATATATTCCAGTTTGTGTTAAATCTATTAATATTAGGGCTCAAAAAAATTTCAATCTATTAATATAAGGGCTCAAAAAAATTCAAGACACCCTTTTGATGATTTTCTTGATGCTGGAAGTGGGCTTTAGTCTGTCAACAGAAAAATATTAACCATTTTCCCTTTTACGAGAACAAAAGATATTTCTCATTTTTGTCAGGTACTTGAAACGGACACGTACAAGTTGGTTTAAGTGGCTTTTTCACTTTGTTCTCAGAAAAACATGAGAGCATGACTTTAAATCTTTGTGGACAAAAACTTTCTGATGGGTAGCACACTGTGTTTTGATTGGTTATATGTTATCCATGTAGTGTAGCAGCTTACCCAGAAAGGTAGTAGGATCAACTTTGAAATCGTGTGGATCAAAAAATTCACCAGGTATTTTAATGTTTGTTCCATACAAAATTTAGGCAATCTAGTGATTTGTGTCACATTGTAAAGCAGATTTTCCCATTACATTGGGGATGGTATGCTGTAGTGTGAAGGACTTTAGCCCCACATATTACAGCCAAACTCTTGAACAACTGTGATTGAAACTGGGCTCCTTGTTCCATAATAATTTTATATGAAATGCAGATCTGCAAATCCAGTGCTCAAGGTTCATGGCTTAAATCCAGCTCAAAGGCTTTGCTTACAATTTCTACAGTGATGTATGGTAATGGGATGATTGAAATAAAAGCTGTAAATTAGTCGATGCAGGTTAAGCAATATATGTACACATTTTTGAAGGGGGTAATGGGGCAATGAGATCGATATGCAATACGCTGAAACAAGTATCTGGTTCTGGGAATTTCACAAATTTAGATTTGGTATACTTAGTAATTTTACATTTTTGGCATGATACATGCTTAGGCCCAATCTTTTGTTTTTTTCATTCCAGACCACACAAAACTAGCAGCCATTTGTTTAGTGCTAGATTTAATGATAGAATGTGAAAAACCATGAATTTGATCAAAAGGTTTTCTCCTGAAACTAGCTGGAATATAAAGCCCAATCTTCTTCTGTGAGGTATCACAGCCTAAAACTTCTGAAGATGGAAGTATGTACTGGATAAATTTAAGTGTCGTGTCTGTCTCTTTCCATTAGATCTTTCAATAACAAAGATCTGTGATAGAGTGTCTGCAACCACATTTTCTTCTCCACTAATATGCTGAATATCTGTGTTGAACTGCAAAATGTATTGTAGTTGACGCAGTTGTCTCATGGGTGCTTTCTCATTTTCTTGCTTAAAGGTGAAGGTCAATGGCTTGTGATTCATTACAATTACAAATTTTCTACCCTCCAGGGTATACTTGAAATGTTTTACTGAAAAGTACACACCCAAGAGTTCTCGATCGTAGGTGTTTTAAGATTTCTGAGTGTCATTCAATTTCTTTGAATAGAAAGCAGTTGGCCTCCAGTTTCCTTCAAATTGTTGTAGTACAGGGCCAATAGCCCAGTCTGATGCATCAGTGCACAATGATAATGGAAGTCCAGGTGATGGGAAACAAAAGGGCAGCATTAGCTAAATCTTGCTTGCATTTTTCTAATTTTTGTATTGCCTCAGTCCATGGGACTTTTATCTTTCTTTTTTGAACCCTTTAAAAACTTGCAGTGGTGCATGTGTTTGAGCAGCATTTCTCAAATACCTGCGATAAAATTTTATAGCCAAGAAGGTGTGCAAGTGTCGTAGGGTCACAGGTAGTGGGTATTCTAAGCTGACTTGGACCTTGCTAGGCAGAGGACTTTAGCAGTAATCAGAGTACCCAGAAACTCAATTTGGTCTACTCCCAAAATAGATTTAGATATATTAATGTGAAGGCCAAATTTACTCAGTCTGTCAAACACTAACTGCAGATGTTGTTTGTGTTCATCTTCAGATGATAATGTTATTAACACATCATCTTAATATGGGAATAAAAAATCCAAACCGAAGAAAGCTTCGTTAATGAAACACTGAAAGGTAGCTGGTGTTTTTCTGAGTCCAAAACTCGGAACGTTGAATTCAAATAATCCGAAAAGGGTAATTATGGCATTCTTTGGTTTGTTTTCTTCAGCATTTGGTATCTGATAGTATGTTTTTACTAGATCAATCTTTGAAAATATATTTTTAACTTACAAGATAAGATGAAAATCTTCGATTTTTAGGAATCTAGGCTGTAACTGTTCAATCCTCTTTACTGACTAAATGTAGGGAATTCTTGCTTGTTAAGGCAAGTTTTTCAGAATCAAATGGACAGGCTCATGAAAGCACCGGGCACCCCTTTGGTTGTTATGTGATGCTTCACATCATGTTTACTTGAGGCTTAGTTAAGTCTGGGTAAGATTTAAATAATTCATAAGACTTTCAGTTATGGTTATTATTCAGTATGCTGATGATGAGTTCATCTGAGATAGACCTAACTGCAGCCTTTATGGATAACTTCTAATGTATTTCTCCCACTTTCCTAGTGTGCCTTTGTGTTGTAGTGGTTCTGAATGCTGAGCCGGTATTTAAGAGGTCCGTGGTTCGATTCCTGACGAAGGTGGTTGCTAATTTTTTATCTTTCCTGCTTATAAAAAATTACCTAATGTTTCTACAGTGGTGCCCAAACTAAAAGGGTGTTGGATGAGGTTTTTCCACACCCATGATTTGGCGATTGGGTCCCCTAAAAACCCCAGTCGCTCTTTATAAAGGGGAGTATATAAGGTATTTCTCCCACTCTCTTAGCATGGTGTAGTGGTTCTCCATGCTAAGCCAGTATTTCAGAGGTCCGTGGTTAGATTCCTGGCAAAGGTTGTTGTTAATTTTTCATCTTTCCTGCTTCCAAAAAATACCTAATGTTTCTACAAACTGAGTAACGCCATCGATCAATTTTCTGTTATGAATATCAATAAGTAGTTGAAAATGATTTAGAAAATCAGCCCCAGTGATACCTGTATTAACCTTGGCTATGATAAATGGCCATTGAAAATGTCATCTGAGTCCCAAGTCATGATTTAGAGTTCTTACATCATACTAATTCAGAAGTCAAACAACAAAAATCAGCATTATATTTACAAAATTTTCACAGGACTAGTTTCGATGGTTTTACCGAACCACCATCTTCAGCTGCAAAACCGCAAATGAACAAGATAGGAAATAATGATTAGATAAGATAAGAAAGCCTGGACAAGAATAAGCAAGTGGCGCCATCTGTTGGTAAAACCAGAACTAAAACATAATTTCTTTAAAGGCCGAAGGCAAATTTGGATTGGAATTAGGATCGTTAACTAGAACAGAAAGATTTTTATGAATGTGAAATGCCTCTAGAAAATCCAGTTCTCCAATGGAAGATGTTTTTTGAATAATTTTGGCAGCAGAAAAACTGAAAGTGTGGTTTCGGACCAACAATGTTGAGCAACAGAAGACTTCTGTGTTTCCCTTTTTTCTAACATAGGCCTCATGTTCTTTGACGCGAAATTTTAAGGCTCTCTTAGTTTGGCCAATGTAAATTAAACCACACTGGCAAGGAATCCTATAAATACCCCAGGAATTCATATCCGGAATGGGGTTTGAGTATGGAACTCGGAATTTTATTGATGGGAGAATAAACAACCCGAAAGTTAAATTTCTGCAAAATATGTGCAACTTTATAGCTAATTGATGGAAAGAAGGGAATGACAACAGAATTTTTATAATCTCCTAAAAACAAGATTGTGCCTTTTAGTGTGTTGAGATGAGAATTTTTTAACTGCTTGATTAATATGTTGGGTGAAAAGCCCCTGTCCAATAGCTATTGCTTTTAAAATACTTTAGTTCTTCATCAAGGGCTAGTTTGGAGGAGCAAACTTGAAGAGCACGGAAAACATAGGAATAAAATGAAGCTAACTTTTGTTTAGTCGGATGACATGATTAAAGTGTGGTGGAAGGCAAAACCGATGAAGGTTTTACGGTAAAACCGTAGTATACTGAAGTTGGATGTGTTACGTGTGACCAGAAGTCGAGAAACGGAAGAGATTGCAAGTCTCAAGTTCAAAAGTGAACTGAATCGCAGGATCAATAGAATTCATTATTGAAAGAACTTTATTTAAATCATCTTTATTACCTTCAAACAGAGTAAAAGTGTCGTCTACGTAGCGGAACCATGCCGGGAAGTTTAAAGTTTCAAACAATTTTGATTCATAATAATGCATGTAGTATCGCAGGAGGGACTGAGGGGGCTTCCCATGGCTAACCCTCAGTTGCTTGCAATATTTATTTTGGAAACAATGGTTTGAACATGAGGAGAACTGAGGCATATTTAGAAAAAGGGAAACACAGAAGTCTTCGTTTGCTCAACATTGTTGGTCCGAAAACCACACTTTCAGTTTTCTGCTGCCAAAATTATTCAAAAACATTTCCATGGAGAAATGGATTTAGAGGCATTTCACATTCAAAAAATTTTCTGTTCTGTTAAGATCCTAATTCCAATCCAAATTTGCCTTCGCCTTTAAGAAATTATGTTTTAGTCTGGTTTACCAACAGATGGCGCCACTGTTATTTGTCCAGGCTTTCTCTCTTATCTAATCATTATTTCCTATTGTTCATTTGCGGTTTTGCAGCTGAAGATGGTGTTCGGTAAAACATCGAAACTAGTCCGTGAAAATTTTTAAATATACGCTGATTTTTGTTGTTTGACTTCTGAATTAGTATTTATTCGGCGTGTTATTGTGTCTTTTCTTACATCATAGTTGGGATATCTGTGTTATCGCCAGCATATAATGTATGGGAACATGGCATAGTTCCTTCCTGTAGTTGCTGGAATCAGGGATACATTGGCTCCACTATCCACTAAAAGACGTTGGCTATGATAAATGGCCATTGAAAATGTCATCTGAGTCCCAAGTCATGATTTAGAGTTCTTACATCATAGTTGGGATATCTGTGCTATCGCCAGCATATAATGTATGGGAATATGGCATAGTTCCTTCCTGTAGTTGCTGAGATCAGGGATACATTGGCTCCACTATCCACTAAAAGCCGTAATACTGAACTTTTGTTAGGGACATATAGTCAAAATTTGTGGCACTTATAATTGCTTGCAGTAGAACTGGCCATGGAGTTTACTGCTGATTTACATTTCCCGACCATTTCCATTCACAAGGTTGTTTACTTTTTTGAATTTAAAATGATAATTATTTAAACAATGATATTCGATTACTGCCGATTCAAAAACTTCCCAAAATAGAGGTTAAAGTTAAGGTTCTGAATAAATATGCTAATTATGTGGTTTTTGTGTGGTTTCTGTCTGTTACCAAAACACTCAAATCAAAAACTGTTTTCTTCTCCCCCCTTTCTTTTTTTTTTTTTTTTTTCCCTTTTACCAGAATAATTGCCATGAAAGTAGTCTCAACAGTTTGAAGGAATACGTTTAATTATTACAATTTCCAACAAATTCTTTCCCATTTCTTAATAGGACATGAGAGGCACATGTCCGCCTCAATGAATTAGCATTCAAATGATTTCCTTTGAAAGTGAAGAGTTCATTAAATATTATATCAAAAATATCTTTTTCTATTTGAGATATTTCTTTTATTATTCACTACTAAATTTTGGCAATTTATCAACATTGATGATTTAAGATCATTTTAAAAAAAAAATGTTCAAAATTGCAATTTTTTCAGAATAAAATGAATAATATCAAAATTTATATCTAACAAGAAATAGCAATTTTAATTTTTTTTTTTTTTTTTTTTTTTTTTATTTCCCATGTCATACATAAAGGATATTATTCTTTCACATTTTGGTGACTTAGGAGTATTTTGATGCTGAAAAATAAATATGATAATAAATGCTATGAAGCAGTTTCTGGAGCATTTTTTAGCAAGAGCAGAAAAGCTGTTGTAGTAAGTATTTTAAAATTAATTTCATTTTTATTCTTTTATATTTTTCATTAGTCCTTTCCACCCATATAATTGCTTCAGAACTTTCAAATGTATATCTTAATTTTTTTTTCCCTCTTAATTCACTTAACACTTTTCTGAATTTTTTACTCAAAAATCTTCTGGTGTTTTGCTCTACAGAATTAGCAGGGATAGTTTTTAGACCTTGCCCCCTTAGAAGATTTAGAAGGATTTGTGAGCAAGGTTTATAGACTGGGTTCCAGAAAAGATGTAACCAGATGAAATGTGTTTTCATTGTATTAACATTAATGAGTGTATGTTATAGGAAAGTTATGATTATAGATGAATTACTTATTTTATGGGAAATTAGAACTGTGAAAACGAAGTTATTTGAATTTTCTGCTTTTCATCCTAGATGACTTCCTTTTAGCATGTTTATCTTTCCTTTATTTTCTCATCTTTACACTAAAGCATGGAAAATTGCAAAAATAGTTCTAATCTTGTTTTGTGGACAGGCATCTATAGAATGGAATTTTTCTATTAATGCACGATTCGAAAGCTGACGCTTTAAAAGGTCCATTTTATCTCTCACCGCACTGAACACAGGGTATTTTGCCACCTGTTGCAATCTCTATGGGTCCTAAATTCTGCTGCCGAGTGCCTCTCCTGAATTCTGAAAATTTTTTTACCCCTAAATTTTGTTGCTCATTGCTTTACTATCTTTTAAAATATCTGTTACACAGGCTTTGTTGGATCATTCCTTATTTGTTCTTAATAGTCATATTATTAAAGAAATAAAATTATCAAATTCTACACATTTTAAATACATACAGTTCTCTAGAACAACAGAATCTTCAATTAGATCTCAAATGCTAAAATGTATAATGATTTGTATGTGTAAAGGAAACTTGTTGGGAAAGAAATTGATTACATAAAGGGGAAGAAAATTATTCTCATATATTGGTAAAACAAGGTATATTGTTAAAACATTTACAAACTAGGGAATGAAGCAGAGACTAGTGTAAACATGTGTAGTTTATTGAAACAAAACAAAATGTTAAAGAGGATAAAATTGATATAAATTAGCTAAAATATGTTGAAAATACTCAAATTAAAAAGATGCATAAATAAATATTTTGTGACACGTTGTTTCTACGAAATATTCATCTTTTAAGCTTTTTTTGTGTGTAAAAGATTGTTTTAGAATCAATACCATTCATTACACGAACAATTATCTGTATTTTAAACTGTAAAATGCTCTTAGATTATGATTTGAATAGTGCTTTTGTAACACATTTTAGAAATTACAAAAAAAAAAAAAAAAAAAAAAAAAAATATTTGACCATCTAAAATGACTCAGGGTATCTTAACTACATATGCAAGTATTTAATTGTGCACCCTTAGAAGTTATATCTATGTGTTAAGGTGAATTAGCATCTTTCCTTAATCCTTACCAGGGACTTAAGATGCAAGGCAAAATGTAAAAGTCTGTTATCATATCATCATTAGGTTAACCATTCTCTGTTTATGATGATTTTTAGAAGTTTTGCTCCATAATTATGTAAAACTGCATAAGCATTCTGAATGTATTGAGACTTAACAATAAATATTTTTTGTACAATATAATTTATGTAACAGTTTAAGGAATAAATGTTTATTGCAAAATAAGCTAACCCACATATAGAGGGTTTTTTTTTTTTTTTTTTTTTTCAACTGTCTTTAAATTTTAGGAGTCAGAATTTTTCTGTCTTTAAATTTTACAGAATTCCACTAGTGATGCATCCAAAGAGAATGGTTCTGAAAATGATACTATTTCTGGCAATACTCAAGGAAGCAAATTGTTGGAACAGCAAAGGAATCTTCGATCTCATACGGCAACTAGGTATTTCATTTGAAGTTACATAAGCATTTGTAAATGAAATTTTTAATGAGGATTTAGTTATATTTGTAGAAGGCATGTAATAATTATTCTATTCTTAGGATTATTATTCTAAGTTTTTTTGACCATCTAATCGTTGTCAGACCTTGTCTATTCTTTTTATGGGAACTTGGCTTGCAGTCCTTCAGAGCAAATTGCCAATTTTTCATGCTCTTTTAACTTTTTGGATTAACACCTGTAAGATCCTTTAATAGGTGGAGTTTTTGCTACCTAATGCTTTTTGACCTTTAAAGGAGTCTCTTGCTGAAATCAGACTGCTTACATGAACTGTGCAGCAATGGCTTTTGTACCTGGTTTGATTCTCGCTTTTAGAGGGATGCATTTATTTCACAAAAGAAAGGAAAATGTAAGGATTATTGTTTAAACCGCTAGATGCTTTTCCTTGGGGAGACAAAATTTAAAGGTGCATTCAATTCCAAATCAGTGGTTTCCTTTCAGTGGTACACAGACGGGAATCTTATTTTTCCTTTATGGAAAAGATCATCTGTTTAACCATCGTATGGTACACAGTGTTCTTTTTTTAAATATTTTGTATGAATTTTTAGAGCAACTTTAATTTACCATGCTAAATTGTCATTATAATATGTTCTGTAGAATTAGTTCTATTATTATTTTAAAGTTATAATAGAACTAATTCTAGGTAATTAGTTCTATTATAGAATTAATAATAATAAGTTCTTACTATTTTATGGATATTTTTAGTCTTTTAGATGTATTTCTCCATTTCTGAAATTCTGTAGATTTTATGAACTTTTCTTAAATTTACAAAAATTCATGTTTTCATAAACCAAAAAAACACCGTGTAAATATATCGGTAAAGAGGTAAGTTAGGTACTGTCGATTTTCTTTGTAATTTTTATTTTGTTTTTGCTGTGTATATTATCAGAAATATCCAAAATCTTAAAAATATTTTCCGTGGAGGAATGGTTTTAAAAGTAAGTTTATTCATAGAAAGGTGATTAAGAACTGAAACTTTATGGAAAAGTTAAATCTTAAAAGTCTAAATAAATGTTAAAAATTTGTACAAATATGTAATGCTTAATGAGGGAGAATGTTAAGAAGTTGGAATGTGCTGTGTTAATTAAATGACTTCATGGTACTATACATTGTGTGTACTGGAATGTTTAGTCGCCTAAATTTTTATTAATTAAAAAAAAATGAGAAAACAGAAGCCATGAAAGGTTTTTCTGAAATTATGCATTTTAATTTTAAAAATTAGAAAACAGGACTATTTGAACAAGTAGCCTTTTACATTAGTTTATTCAAAATTAGTCAGTAATATTATTTTTCAGATATTAATGATAGAAGAAATTTAGCTTGAAAATTAGTCTGTAATAGTATTTTTCAAATATTAATGATAGAAGGCTCACTAAAATGTTAATTTATTTACTAGTATAAAACCATACTGGTAAGCACTACATTTAATTGGGAGTTCCCTTTGTCCTTAATAATTTCACAGCCTTTAAAAAATTGTGTTTTCCTGTGTTAGCAAAATTACTGCATTTTTCTTTCTTTCTTTTTTTCTTTTTTTTTTTTTTTTCTTTTTTTAACAGCAAAAAGCTTTCAAATCCAAAGGGGAAAATTGTGTGGTGTATATAGTTTTTGAAAGTGCAGAGACATTGGGTTATTTTGAAGCAGAAGACGTGAAAATGAGCATGCCTTCGCCGGTAATAGAATAACAAAAGGCATGCTGACCACTACTCCATGAAGGCATGTTAAGAAGGTGGGAAAAATACCTTATACACTCCCCCCTTTTAAATGACGACTGGTGATTAGATAATCCGGTTGCCAACTCCAACACGTTTTTTTAGTTCGGGTGTCGCTGTAGAGACAGTAGGTTATTTCGAAGCAGGAGAGATGAAAAATGAGCAGTGCCCTCACCAAGAGTCCTTTCGAATATGCGCTGAACGTGCCCACCACTACACCACGAAGGCATGCTAAGAAGTTGGGAGTAATACCTTATGGATGGGGGAAAAGTTACAACTTTGTTAGTCTTCAATACCTTGTATTATTATTCTTTGTTTTACACTGTTGCATAACTTACATTTTGCAAGCTTTTGGCAAGACTCATATTTCCTCTTCAGTCAGTCCACTTTTCTATTGAACATACAAAACAAAGCAACTCCAAGAAATCTTGCAAAAATGTGGAATATTCTAAAACAGATGCAGAGCTTTGTTTACAATATACAAATGCAATCATCATGAATTCTGAAGCTTCAAGAATGAAAAGGGAAAACTGGATCCTTAATACAGAGATCTGTGAAAAAGATACGCAGCTAAGTCCTTCAGAATCATTAAACCTGACATTTTATCCCACCCTTTTAGCTTGAAAAAGTGGGTGATAATACTGTGGGCACTATAATGGCCATCTTAGCCTGAAAGGATTAGTGAAAGCAATCTACATTTCAAAATATTAATTCATGATAAAGTATTGCATGATTTTTCAGTAGCATTTCATTTTTATCGACTCTGTGTGATCAAGGTTCTACAGTCATGTTCAAAACTGTCTTTACATGCATGAGATCACAAACTGAACTGTAAATTTATGAATTTTTGTGGAATAATACATAACATCCTAATATATAAATGCAAAGTAAAAAATTTAAAAGCACTTCATGATATATAAAACTGTCAGGGAATTATGTTCCTTTATTGTTAAGAGATTAATTGTATTCTACTTAAATCTGTGCTATATGGGAGCTGTTTATCTATTCCTTGCCTGTACTGCTTGCTAATTAATGGGAAAATAATTTGCCATTCTTCAGAAAACATGGGGGGGGGAACCTGCCACTTTTTTACGCTACTTATAAACTTTTGGACTCAAACAGGCTGAAACACCTGTATGATCCTTTGACCCATATTTACATAAGATTAATTCACTGAAAGGTATTCTGTAGTTTTTCTATATCATTTAATTACAGATAGAGGGTGATAAGAAGCATAATCTTTGAGGTTTTAGTTTTTAAAATAACGGTATAAATGTTTGATTCTGTATATTTTCTATGCATTACAACATTTGTTTTTAAGCAACTTATTAAAATTTTTGTCAGCATGTCATTTTTAAGGTTATTTTATTATTTATTGTATTTCTCATGTTCTTGTTTTACTGGCTGCATCTCATTTCTGCACTGCCTGCTAATTCATACATTACTGGCCGTTAAAATTGCATCGCCATAAAGGAACACAAATACAAAAAAAAAAAAAAAAACTATTAATTGCATGTAAATAGTATGCCATGAAGACAAAATTTTTAAATTTATAAGCAGTTTAGAGTTTTACAAGGGTGCAAAATTAGTAGACTACCCCTTTGGGTGTGGAGCCAAACTGGGCTTGGATGAGAGAAATGGCCAACTCCATTCCATGCTGCTTCAAGTCTTCACACTTCAACAACCGATGACCAAATGTTTTCAATTGGTGACAGATCTGGAGACCAGGCAGGCCAGGGCAGCAATCAAATACCCTGTGTATCGAGGAGGGTCAGAAGAAAACATGCAACATGTGGTCTTGCATTATATTGTTGGAAGATGGGGCAGAACCTCTGGACATAAGATATCGGATCTCCAATTCAAATTGCTGTCGATCTAAACTACATATGTGCATATCGTGTACCCAGTAGATGCCCTAACCATCACACCAGGTGCAGGCAACATGCAGTCTCCTTGGACACTCCAGACACATATATTGCCATCAGAATACTGCACACAGAACTGGGACTCATCTGGAAAGCTTACATTTTGTCACTGCTGTAACCAGCTTTATCGTTTGGTGCACCAGAAACAATGTCTCTCTCTGTGCTGCATTGTCACAGGAAAACAAAATAATGGTCGCAGTGCTGCTAGTCCACGCTGCTGCAAACATGCAAACATCAACGCACCGTGCAAGCTGATACTTGGTCTGCTGCTAACATGCCCATTTCCTGACTAATGGTCCGTGATGTGGTTGTACGGCTTTGCAGGACTGATATCACATTTATGTTTGTCCTGTCGAACATTAGTCATAGAAGGGTGTTGAGATCCTGCATGCTGTTCAGTATGACCCTCGGCAACCTCAGCATTGATACATTGAACAAATTCGAACCTAACAAAGTGCTCTCCAAATGAAAAATCCACTGCACATCTTTTCTTTTATGCAGCAATTCAGATGTCGTGTTTCCCTCCTGTATCATCTAAATGTGCTGAAATACTAATCATTTGCACATCCCAACTTCCTTTGATGTAATTTGGACATTCGTCAGATCATTCCTTGCTGGTGTTGCAATTTTAATGGCCAGCAGTGTATTATGCATGACAGCAGAGTGATAGCATATTTCTTAGTATTTAGTATCATACTCAACTATTAGTCTTGCTATGTATTTCTGTATACAAAACTTGTAAGACAGCAAGGAAATACAAGAATTGTTAATTTTTTAGCAGGCTTCCTCCTGCTTTGGTTCCTATTTGACCCAATTTAGAATCGCGTAACATCATAGGCTGATAACTGCCTCTCACATTTTCCCATAATTTAAATAATCCAAATCAGAATGTTAGTTGGTTTAAAAATTTATTCTTTTATCATTGTATTTATGCAAGTCCTAGTACTTCTGTAGATCTGTATACAAAAACAAAAGCACATAGATTATGGTTGTATCTTGCTTTCCCTCTGTTGTTTATTTAAACAAAACAACAACAACAAAAAAAGAGTGTCAGGTGGATTGTAGTTAACAATTTCTAAGTTGTAGACTGCAAGCTGAACAAACTCCATCAGATTTACTGTTTGTGCACAGTTTCAAACAAAATGTAGATTAATTACCTTATACTCTTGAAAGTAATTTTGCCTAAGAACATTCGTATTAGTTCTGTGAAAATACGAACAGATTTGTTTGGGGAGGTAGTGAGTTTGAGTATTGAATATTTTCTGCAGTTAAGTGTAGTATTTTGGCTGATGCTTTATTTTCAAGAAAACAGTTTGAAAGATTGAAATCATACTATTAAATTCAAATGCTAAAAATAATATTACAACTTTAGCCATTAAGTTTCATATGTAATCATATTCTTAAAATAAGTTTGAATTTTCCCTTTTTTTTTCATATTCGCTTAGTTTATGAATATAAACACTCGGTGTGTTGGGGAAAAATCTTCTTAAGTGAGTTTTATAATTGTTTCATTGAATGTAATTTATTTATTTGAAATTTGTCTTCATCATGAATAAGGATAAAATTCACAGCATCATTTAGTGAATGTGCTTTTCACACTAAATGCTTCTTTATATATATATGTCCATTATGTATAGTTATTATTACACCTTAATGTGTTTCTTCATGCGGATGCGTCGGGAAATTGAGACAGAGAATTGAGACTAAAGTTTATGGCTAGGTTATTCAATTAATTTATAAAGAAAGAGTTTCATTTACAGTTTCAATTGTTTGTTTCGGTGAAACACGATATGGAGTTAGCTGGATTCGAAAATCATTTTTAAAAAATTTACCCTGAAGAACCTTAATGAGATTCGAATTGGGCTAATCTACCATTTACCACTTCTTTATTTTTGTATTTTTGCTTTAGTCTTTTGTCACACTTTAAAATTCTAATGTTTAAGATATGCCTTACTTTGTTCAGCATATTGCTTACAATTAGTATTGAAATTTATTTGTAAATATTCAAGTGTTTATATAGTTTATTTAATCTTTTATATTTACGCATTTCACTGTATTTTATTTTACTTACGTTAATATTGTCAACGAAACCACAGTATCTAAGCAACTTTTTGGCATATGAACTAGGAATTTTCTTTTAACTTTTTTCTAAATGTTGCAGCTCAATGTGCAAAGTTTTTGACCACATAGGTCTTTTTTAGTTTGTTCTCTTTTCTTTAATTATATACATATATAATCTCTGTGTGTGTATCAGTAATATCCTTTACAACTGTAATTCATTTAGGGCTCAGAAAAATACAGTTGCTTCAACAGCTGGGAAAAGAAGGAAATCTGTGGATCTTAATGGAAATGAGACTGATTTTGTACATTTGAAAAAGTCAAAGCAGTCTAAATCTTTTGAAGAAGATTCAACAGCTGTTGAGGAAGTAGAAGAAAGTCCAGGAAAAGTATCATATGAGAAAGCATGTTACAATAGTAACTATTTAGCACTGAAGCAAAATTATGCAGAATTTGTAACACCTAGCATCTTGCAGGTTGGTACCACATAGAAAATCTTTTCATTTTATTTATATGTTAAATAATAAATTTGTATTTAAATATCTGTTTATGGCTCATAAAGCACTTAAAATATGGTTTTCAGTAGTAAAATGGAAAAAAAATGTGTTTAAAAGTATATTTTCACATCTTATTATAGTTACTAGTGTTTGCAAAAGCATTTTTCTAATTTGAAATGGTATAAGCATAATGCAGCTATATTTTTAAAGTAATAGGTGTAAACTCAAAGTTTTAAGATTCGTTTGAATTATGTAATAGTAGATCTATATTTTTATTGAATGGAATGATAGATCTGATTGACATGGTTTTATAGAAATATTGCAGATTAATAAAATTCATTGCAGATAATTAGAATATCAAGGAAAGGAAGGGAATTATTTTCGAGTGTGAACTGGATGGTGGCAGAATCAAATGCAGAAGAGATTAAATCTTTAAGTCTACTTTTTAATCCTCAAGGAATTTGATTTCAGTTCTTTAAACTATTTTATATCTCTTTGCCTCTCCATGCTAAATAATGTCGTCCTGCTAAACAAAAAAGTTTTTTTTCCTTGTACAGATCATGCTAGTAATGCTTATTCTGTAGATACTTAGCACTCAGTTGTTAAAAACCAGTTGCTATTCTCAAAGTATTTTCTCCTGCAGTCATTGATAGGGCTTTAATGAATTTGTCTTGTCATCCAGAAAGATACTTTGCTACTAGAAGCATAATAACATTGTCGTATCTCATCACTCTATCAATTACAAAATTGCTTAGATCTCTTAGAAGTTCACATTTTGGGGTTTTTCCTCTTATCTATCAGTGATTGACATGGTTCAGTACAAGTTCATTTTTTGACTGTTAAAGATATCATCTCCGATTTTTGTGTTTGGGGAATTGATAGCATATGCTGTTGTGTTTTGTCATAATTGACTAAACTAAAAAAAATAGTAAAATTTTATGTCAAAGAACATGAATCTTAAATCCCAAAACGGAGAATTAAGCAAATCTTGAATCGCAGTTTTGTTTGATTTGATTCTGCAAAAGTTATTCATAAAACTTTTTCAGTTTGTGAATTAATTTCCTTGTATTTTCAGTAGTGTTGCTGGCAGCCATGTCATTGATTCTGAGGATTTTTTTTGGGGGGGGAGAGCGACTTTTTATTATTTAACATCACTTTCTTCACACCAACATGTAAAAATACAACAGCAGAATCACTAAATTTTTAAAAACAGCATATTTGTAGAACTCCTGCTATAGTGTTAATGCTGTGTGCATTTTTAGCCCAAATGGGCTGTTGGTCTCAAACTTCACTTTTGATGTCCATTTCTTTTTTCAAATAACTAGGCATTGGTATGCCCAGTTGCCTAAAATTGATATTATAAAAAAAGAAGAAATATATTATATTTTTAATAAATCTGGCTAATTAATAACCTACAGTTATGGCCTTTAAACTGCTTAGTATGTTAATAACAGACAGATTAAATTTTTAAACAACAAATTGTAGAACATGCAAATGTCTACAAATAGCAACAAAGTGGCATGTGGAAGATAAAAATATTTTATATCAGGCAGTGGCAACACATTTATTTTAAATAGCTGAGTTTTGTTAAATGTGATAGTGCTAAAGAGAAATTACATTAAAAATCTCCTATATATCTCATTTAAAAGATTTTGTTTCCCTGTATCTGATGGTGCAAACACTAAAATTCAGAAATTTTTAGCTTGTTCCTTAAATGAAAATATGTGTGAAAGTTTGTTTCAACATTAGATTTTAAAAAATCTTTGTCAAGCTTTAAAAAAATTGCTACACTACATCTCTCATCCACAATGAATATGTATGAAACCTGAGCTGCATAACTTATCAAGAAATAAAATATGCTGTTTAAAAACATTTTTTCTTGCAGAGAAAATCCTTTTTTGAGTTTGGTAGATTTTGCGTTGTGGAAAAGCTTTCTGCTTTGTTGTATTTCAGTCTTAGATCCACGCTAATCAAACTGAGTTTGTCCTAATTTTAAATATTTTATATAATGTCACCAGGGGCTGTGCAGTAAAATCGTTGAACACATATAGTTCGGTTCGGTGTTTGAATCCTGGCAAATGGACTAGCTGCATGGATGTTTTCATGGTTTTCCTCATGTATAAGAGCCATTTTCCCCTCGAAAGACCTCCACGAAGCTATCCCACTTTAGGCAGAAAGCCCTCGTGTCTTTTGCAGTAATCAAACTAAACCAAACATAATGTGAATCTGAATTTAAATCTCCAGGCAGGTCTAGGTTATACAGTTGCTTAAAGCCTAGATGCGATATTCAGAAAATTTACGACGATAAGCTCTTTTCCTCTCCTTTTGGGGTAAAACTTTTCCACTTTTGTGACGTCCTGCTTCAGATTTTGAAAGGGTTGCAGTTAGCACAAAAATTCATTGGTCTTTTATGGTGGTGAGGTCTTCATACTCACAGCTAATAGGCTAGAAGATGTGCAGTTTGCTGTATTTTTTATGATTTGAGGGGGGAACAGGCTACTCTTCCTGTGCTAAAACTCATAGGAAAGTTATTTTGAAAAGCAGGTTGCTTGTATTTTAGAATATTTGGTTAGAGGAAGATGAAAGATATAGTCTGAGGCTCTCATTGTTAAGCAAATTCAACATAATTATAATTTATTCTTTAATTGAACCCTCAACAGAAGCTGAAAATGATGTCAGAAATCCCAAGTAACATATCTCAGTCAATATTTTTTTTTTTTTTTTTTTTTTTTGTTGCACAGATTTCAAGCTTTTTGTGTTCCCCCCCCCATGAGTGTGATCCCTAGGGAAGCATGTGAGAAATTCAATTTCTTAATTTTAATAAAATTGACTTTTTAAATTAAAAAGTACTAAAAGCTGAATATTTATTTGCATCATTTAAAACATCTTATTTAGAAAATAAATATAAAGGTTGGTGAGGCTGGACTTTATGGATATATGTATTCTGACTGTATGTTGTTTTTTATGGATTATGTCTTTCATTTTGAGATTAATTGCTGTGGCAAGATATCTCTAGCCTTTTTATCTTTTCCTAGGATTACAAACAAATGAAGTCATCCAGTTTTGTGTCCAAGCTCAATAATGTATATACTGTAGAGCCTATTTCAAAGAGGTAAGATTGTGGGAAAACATATAAATGTTTCTATTCATTCAAGTACTGTGTTATGAATTTTTTTCCTCTTATCAGATTAGCTGCAGAGAGATAATTTGTTCATTTATTTATGCAGTAGTTCAGTAAATGATAATCTGTGCTAGGCAGAAAAATGCCATTATGAATGGTATATTGTTTGATGTTATTTATCATATATTATTTTATATGGCTCAGAAAGACTTTTTTAATGCATTTAGTATAGATATTGCAAACTTTCAGATATATTTATCACTTTAGCCTTTGTTGTTTCATGAAAAGAATGTATTTATACATGCATATCTGTTATATAGATTTAAGAATTGCAATTCTCTGATATAGAATTAAGAATTGCAAATCTCTGAATAATAATTTTTAGTTTTAATAGATAATTTAAAGATAGGAAGAGGATGTTTATTATGACATTGATCAAGAATGTAACTTAAAAAGTCCTGTGAGAGAAAATACCAAAACATGTATAAAAGGCAAACTTAGAAGCTTGAACTCTAGTTGAAGAAATAAACTGAAAAATCTAGTTAGTTAATCCAAAATAAAAGATTAAATTTCTTTCCTGATCATATTTGAATTTTGAACGGCAGCTAAAATATTATATCTTGCTGCATCATGACCCACAAGTGGCTAAACAAGTGAGATCTGCTTGACCTGCATTCAGTTTTGATAAAGGTATTGTTTGCATGTGTGTTTTTTGGTTTTCAGTTAATATATAGTAAATGTGGGCCTGTTTCTCTTAACTCTTTCAAATCGAAGTCGCCCCAAATGTCCGATGTTTCAGACAATGGCAGGTCGTCCAAAATGCCGGAATAATTTCGTATCTAGTTCTTTCCCCTCCCATCATATTACTGCATTGCTCATTGCTTTCATGTATTGTTAAGTGACATGTCAGTCATTCTTTTGAAGCGACTGAAAGTAGTTCTGTTATTTTAATGCACCTTCTTTTTCCTTTGTTTACTGTCAAAGTTTAGCTATTGATGCCCGAAGTTGCAATCCCATCCCAATGGGGAACTTCGCACAGAGTGAAAGCGTCCGAAAAAGAAGTTCTTGCTTTACTTAAGTAGGTTATTGTAAGCACTGTAGTGTTCATTTTGTCATGAGGGGGGAGAAAAGCATTTCAGAAGAAATTTCTAGGCACAGGCATTTTTTGATGTTTGAGTAAAAGAGATTTTGCCTTCTGTCGATGCGAAAGAGTTAAGTCTTCCGTGAAGGTACCTTTCCATTAGCCTGTATATAATTTGCCATATTCCATGATGCAAACAACCTTAATGCATGAAGAAAGTATATATAATTTCATTTAGCATGCAGGGTTGCTTTGTTTGTGGTTCAACTTTATTTATTTGGGGGGGGGTTATTGAAGCAGCTATTTTTCATTCGTAATTTCAATTTTGATAACATAGGATTTTATTTTTTACATTTTATTAAGACCAGAACTCCTGTATTCTTTTCTGTACATGATAAAAATAGTTATTTTTATTTGGCAAAACCTGCTTAAAATATGTATTCCCATGTATTCCTTATCATCTTGCACGTCCACAATTGCATATGGTTGATAATTACTTACATGTCAGATTTTTTTTTTCTGGGTGCTGTGTTTCTAAACTTCCTGAACAAATACTTATTTTATCTGATAATAGGGCAAAAATTTAGATTAAATTTTGCAGTTTTTTCAATTTATGTGTAATGAAATTTCTCTCACCATTAAATTGAATAGGTACTGATCTGAATGCTGTTGTTATATACCAAAAATATTGCAGTTCTGTGTGCTGAATGCTTTTAAAGTGTAGGGGCTCTTGAGCAGTATTAGTATGCATATGAGAAGATATGGAGACATGGAATTCTCCAAAACCTATTATGTGGAAAACTTCCTATCTTTACTCAGACTTTCAAGACAGGCTGTTTCAAGTCAAAATTGGTTCTGTGCTGTCTAAATCTTTTTACCAAGAAGAGGGAGTGCCACAGGGCTGTGTACTGATCAAATTTCTAGGAGTAATATTTGATAAGAAACTCAGAAAGTATTACCAAATACCTCCTGGTAAGCAGATAAAACTTCCATGCTCAGAATTTACAGAGCTGTTATTCGCTCCAAACGCAATTACAATCAGTGGCCTATGGATTGGCACAGCTTTCTGTGGTAAAGAAGCTGGTCCTGTTCACCACTATGCCCTGAGAATTGGTTTGGGAGCTTTCAGAACATCTCCTATGAAGAGTTTGTATGTAGAATGTTTCGAGCCACCCCTCCAGCTGAAACACAAGCAATTGTCTCTTGAATATTACTTGAAAACTGTTTCACATACTGACCATCCAGCTAGCCTCATAGTGCTTGATAGCCAGTTTTATTTGCTCTGCCTAGTCTGTCTTTGTATTCCTGCTTTTGGATTACGCATTAGACAGTGGACACAAGAACATGACTTGGAAGAGGTAAAAGTTCAAGCGGTAAAGTATTTGGAAATACAGTCAAAAGTCGTTAATTCGGACACCCATAATCCGGACCTCAAAGCTACAAACTTTCTGCGTGTGCGTAAGACCTTTACGGTTGCGAATTTGTGTGTGCATGTGCGCAAAATACGTTTACAAATGCGCGTTTAATATATAACGGACGGTATTAGCTAAGCTAAAATTATCTAATTATCTATTTCAGTTAATGTTGCCGATTGCGTTGTTCCTTAATCTTCGAATTGGATCCGGCTTATTATTTTTTGCAGACTATTAGAGCAATTTTATAAAAGTAAGCTTGAACTTTTGATTATGTCAAATAGAATTTCCGATATATATTTACATGTAAAGGATCTACAAATCGAAAGTATGTTTCGGAGTCCATTAACCCCTTCGAACCGGATAGTGAAAATGCGCGCTTATCGCGGAGGCCGGCAGTGTCTTACGCGAGCGTCTCTCTAGGGCCGGGAGCTTTTTTGCTACTAAGCCTAAATCCATGAAATTTCCGAAGTATCAACGCATTGTTTAATAATGCTCTATAGAGTATTTAAACGGCTTATGCTTTATAGATATTATATATATATATACTTTAATTACCTTATTTCTTGTTTTAAATGCATATTTTACACATTTTATTTTAATTACTCACCATTTATGACTTTTAACATTATACATCTGAAAACTAAATATAGTACTTAAAATTCTCTTTTCGTATGAAAAATTTGAAAACAGGGATCTACACACAGTCCTACGTTACATTCCTTGCACTCGTAATAACTCATTTGCCGTTTTTAGAGGATTTTTTTTTTTTTTTTAGAAGATTTTTTTCCGGGAATGTGAACAAACGAAGCATCGTCGTCTCATTTTCTTATCAGTCTCTTCTGAACAAAGTTTTGGAAAATGTCTTTCAGTTAATCTTTCAGAATCAATATCTGAAATATTTTGCATCATTTCTGTTATTTCATGCTTTGTTAAGCATTTTCGACACTTCGACATTGCAACAGTAAAAACAGAAAGAATTCACGTCTAACAAGATCTAATTATTTTCTAAAAACTGAACTGCAAACCGAAATATTCAACGCTTTAGCGCATGTGAAACTTCTACTTACAATGAACAATTATCATGTGCGAATAAAAGTGCGATTTAAAGAGACGTAATAAACCACGCCATTCGGAAACATTTAGTTCCCCGTTTGTTTATATAATCAAAAACACGTGTATGTGAGTCATGCTTCTCTCATTTCGAGTAGAAGGTCTAATATACATGTACCTGAAATCATATGGACATAAAGTGCCATCTTGTGGCAGAAATTATAGTTTGAAAAACGTTCCAGGACACTGGCACAAATACGTGACAGTCGGACTGTCACGTATTTGTGTCACGTAAATGGGAAAATGCTCTGTCACGCCTGCGTGTCGGCCGGGGGGTGAGTGTGTTCGTTGCTGGCACGTAGACGTGACTGTTGATGCGAAAGGGTTAAACAAAAAGTAGAATTGCTGCAAAAAATGGGTAAAGGCATATCCTTTGTTTATCTTTAACACCGCGGCTCGCTATGAATTGGAAGTTGATCTGTCAGCACTATCCTTATCTTCAGGGCAGATGTTTTTATTTTATTTGGCTTATAATTGCATACTAAATGTAGTATTTCATCTCGATGTACTCCGTCTTTGATATGATTTAAATCAAATGCCTCGTCATTATAATTCGCTTCCGATAGCGAAGAAAGGGACAGAGGTTATTGAAAACGAAAAAATTTCGATTGACAGATTAGTCGGTATTCTCGACACAGCAATTATAGGACTTGAACAGCGGAACTTTGTAACTGAACGAGAAATTATGTCTGTTTATAGAATTAAAGAGAATGTACTATCACATAGAAAACGAAACAACTTAAACAACTTACATTCAAAGAAATGTTTAATAAAGTAAACAAATAAATATTAAGCTTTTTTTTTTTTTTTTTTTTTTTTTTTTTTTTTGTAAATTTTGATACCCTTTAGATCATAATTGTACTTTCTTTCGTAAATTACGGTTTACGGTTTTTTCATAATTTTAATTTTATAATTTCTGCATGCCATTTTACCAGATTTAAGCTGATGATCTATAATCCGGAAAAATAGATAATCCGGAATCACCGAAGTCCCTACGCGTCCGGATTAACGACTTTTGACTGTACCTTCTTGGAAAGATGCTCACAATGAGGTTCTCAACATCCAAATTAGCTAAAGATAACACCAGTGATGTTGTGTACAAGCAGATTTTCTATGACTATGTTGCAGTATATACGGATGGATCTAAATCCCAGGATCACGTCAACTCTGCCTTTGTGTGCAAGAATACTATTGAGGGAAGAAAATTTCATCTTGTTTGTACCATCTTTACTGCAGAGATTATTGCTTTACTATTAGCTCTATCTTTCATAGGTAAACAACATAGGGAAAATTTCATTATTTACACAAACTCACTCAGTGTGCTAGAAGCTCTCGAATCATATGTGAATAACACAAATCCGTTAATCATAGAATTGCTGACGCAC